AAGTCAAGCAGATCTACAAACCTATTCCATTTCCAACAGTAATGAAAAAAGCCGCACTTTTTGAGGTCATGAAATTAAAGTTCATGCTCCAGTGAGCTGAAACCTGAGCAATTTCTGGATTACAGTGCTTTCTTTACACGGTTCTTTGAACCTTGAAACACATCTTTTGCCTGTTCAGGTATTTCAGGGTTTCTAAATCTCCTTCGATATTCCGGTACACGCTTCTTTTTATTTCTTTTTCAATCATCGTATGACTAATTGTTCTTTGTCCGTCGCCACGTGAAATGCGAGAACATTCGAACATTAGGCGGTGAAGCAGAAATACTGGACCTTGATGACATGGTTCACTGCTAATTTGGGTGATGTGACAGAAAACAGAGTCGCCCCTGAGGGGATACGCGGAAGAAATAATTATTTTGGTCAAACTTGAGTTTGTGTATAACCGCAAGCACGCGAAACTATACCGAGTTATTTCTTATCTTTCAAATCATTCTCGGAACCGGAGCGAAAACTTTTACTGGTTCGAATAATGCAGTGAAAACAGTGAGTGGCTGCTGTTGAATGAACTCTTACAATTTAAACTTCTCGTCGTCCTAGTCCTAACTCACCAAAACCAAAAGAGCACAACAGAAACACACATTATTTATCATATCTAGGCCAAGAACCACGAACTAAAAAGCGTAAATAAAAAAATAATGTGATGTTCGGGAATCACATTTCTTTTATGAAGCGTAGATAGTATAGGAGCTTGTGAAATCGAGCTTGTGAAATCTCTGTAAATTCTGTGAATTTCAAGTGAATGACGTGCCTATTTTGTTGTTGTTTGAAAATTAAAAAAAGATCATGTGTCTAAGTGGTGTAATTCCTGCAACATAAAAACATTAGTTTGTGCATCACCAGAGCACCTTTGCTTCTTATGTCCAGCATTTCATACTGATAGAAAGAAGCTTAAGAGAGATTTACAAGTACAGTATTGGATTTCAATGAAGAGACCCTTTCTGAAATCTTAAAGGATCAAGATAAACTGTTGGTCTTAAATGATTTCTCATCAAAGATTCTCTCAAATTTGTTCATTCAACTAAACCTCATACAGAAACAATCTGAAGACCTTCTGCTTTAAATTAGTTTTACATATATTTTGTTTTCAATGTCAGGGAATGAATGGGTGTGTGCATACATGTCAGATGTCCAGTTGTATTTCATGGATAGTATTTTCTTTTATTACAATCTGAAGATCTTCTGCTTTAAATTAGTTTTACATATATTTTGTTTTCAATGTCAGGGAATGAATGGGTGTGTGCATACATGTCAGATGTCCAGTTGTATTTCATGGATAGTATTTTCTTTTATTTTTGTTATAAATTTGTGCTCTGTTTCCTGCTCTGAAGTGATTAAATGTCATTGAGTGGATTTGGGTTGGGTGAGAAGGGGGTTTGGCTCTGAAAATCTTGATTGAACCTTGTGAACACTGAAAAGTGACAAATAAAGTGTTCTGTTCATTCATTCATTCAAACATTTTCAATGACTTGTTCTTATTTTTTAATGCACCTGAATTACGCTATCTTAAATTTTCAGATTTTATCAAAAAATGTTTTTATGAGTGTATGAAAGAGATGACATTTTTTTCTATCACAACAGAAGTAAAATTATGTTCTGCATGACAAAACTCACCCTGGAAGGAATTAGCTTCGTTGTATAGCCTATATATATAGAGAACAGCCCACAGACATTTTCATATAATCCCGTCGCCCTCCCGGAAACATTGAGGCTGGTGTGTGAGCTAAACTTTCCGGGTGGGAAAGATAGTCGATCAGGGAAACCCGAATGAAACATGCAATGATCCATATGGATTCGCGGTCGTTCTCCGCCCCCCTTCTCGAGGCGAGGGCACCATCACTGATAAAATTCGCGGTTGTTGCAGAAAAAAAGAGTGCGACGATAACGACGACAGCGGACATATCATATTGTACAATACAGTACTCTTACAAAACAGTAAAGTAGTGTACAGTACAATACATCTACTCCCCTCTCCTCTCCCTCAAACACCCGCCGGAGGATGAAATCGCGGGGAAAGCCAGGCGGGGAAATCAGTCGCGTCGCAGCGTCGGGCGCGCGATGTTCATCATCGTGTCATGTGTTGGCACACGATGATTGTTATGTTGTGTGATTATATTGTATGTGTGTTTTATGCTATGTATATGCAGGACATCCGGCGTGATAGAGACTGTGAGAGAAAGTGTGTGTCTGTCGACACAGTATGCATAATGTACTGTTCGTCAAATGAAAAGCGCGAAGTCTGCGTCAGGGTGGGTGGTGGATTTACAATACTGTATATGTTCTTCTCCCTCCCATTTCTGCCTGTATGAGTGCAGTACAATATAGAGTACAGTATGATACACCCGTCCCCCTTCTTTGCTGCTCGCCCTCGCCACCGTCACTCCCTTTTTCGCCGCCGCTGTGTCTGGTGCTGGTCGTCACTGCTCCCAAACCCCCTCTCTCTGTCTCTCTCTCTCTCTCTCTCTCTCTCACCACTCCCTTCCCCTGAATATGTGCTACCACCCCCCCCCCTCTTTCTCCGTCCCCCTTCTACATGCAAGTCCCTTTCTCTATCTCTCTATCCTTTTCTCTCTCTCTCTCCCTGCTGCTTGTGGCTCGATGAGGTTCAGGGTTGCTGCGGCCGGAGGGTATGAGTTTAGGGGGGGAGGGGTTAGCTTGCCAGTGGTCTGCTTTAGATTCCTATACATAAATATCAAGAAATTAATGTACAGTACAGTACAGTACTTCACAACCCCCACCCTCCCTCATTATGAACCAGTACCAATGTGCAGGAGTGTTAGCGGTTTTTGAGGGATAAACATATTGTATGTGGTGAGACCTGTCTTCTCAAGTGTAATTCTGGAGTTGCCTGGGACAAAACTCGATTTTGACGATTTGTCTGAATATTTGTTTATTTGATAATGAAGGAAGGATATTTGAAGAAGTTGATTGCTGGGAGAACAATTGATCTGAGTTCAAGTTTCTAATGGTCTGCTTAATCTCATTTACATCCACAAACAGGAAGGACTCTGTACAGTACTTAGGAATATACTGTACTTATTAATTTTAAGTCTTAATTAGGGTTTGACTCTTTTTGTTGATAAATTGTCTTGTTCTGGACACGGATTTTTAATGACTCAGCAATTCACCCTTATAATAATGGGCTATATCATATTGTGGAGGAATTTTCCATAACCTATGATTTCATGGGAAATACGTCTTTATATTGCGGAAGATTTCAACGATAATTGAAAGCATTTTTTGAACAACGAATAAATTCAAGCAAATCAAAATAAAAGACCAGCACTCCATCATTTTATTTTTCAGAATCTATTTTGCAAAAAATAAATTTGAATGACATGATTCACATCTTTGGAGGGCACAATTATGGGAATGAATCCATACAAAGAACATGTACCTAGGAATGTAGGAAGAATAAGAACTGTGTATATACCAAAGATAATACAGGTCGTACCTTGCAATTCAACCTCTTGCAATTTGACAGTCGAATTTGCTGGAACGTTCACTTGGCAATTTGACACTTGCCCCGCAATTCAAGGTGCTTTCACCATTTTTTTCACGTTTTTGTACTTATCTTTTTAATTTGATTGAGTGTCTTGAAATTCGAAATTTGATCCTATTTTGGCAACGGCTTAGGGTTGATTTGCGAGGTACCACCCGTAGTGACATGGACTCAAATCTAATCTCTCCTTTCTGAAAATATGAGCCAATGAATGATCACGTTTGACCAAACCATGTTCAGTATAATTACTTTACGTTGTCTCTCCTCTTCTATTTTTTTATGTTGCGACTTTTAAATCATTCAAATAGGCGAAATTTGTGACCTTCCCATATGTTTCGTGGACCAGGAAATTAAAGTTCTGAATTTAAATCACTTGAAACAATTTCAAGTCTGCTTTCATTAGATGGAAATTTCTCAAGAAACACGAAAATGCTCAGTTGGTTATCTTTTCAAACACCATTCGTGAAATGAAGTATTATTTTGTTTATTCTTTCCCTTCGAGTTCCCGCATCACTGCTGGCAACATTGGAGAACCTTCCCCCGTTGCAGCAGGGAAACCCCCGGGTTCGGGGTTCAGCTGCTCACACACACACAAAGAGAGAAAGAGGAAAATGATCCCCTCTCTTTCGCTGACTTTCCGAAGTATATTTCAAGCTATATCAGGCATTGTGATCATTTCATTTTAACGGTGTGAAGTATCATTTTAAAAGCTTCATTTCCAGATAAATGAACGCTAGAATAAAAAAAAAATCAGACCACGTCCGTTACCTATCAATGCCATAAAGTGTTTCATCCGTCTGGAGGGTTTGAAAAAAATGAGAGATATAAACTTAATACAATATGCGTAAGAATACAATTTTGTAGCTTTTCAGAATTTATTCTGTGCAATGTTCACTTCTCAACATTGAAAAGAGTCGAATTTCAATCATGTTGAATTATAAAATTTAATAATACAGATGGAATACAGAACCAATCGTCGAACACGAGAATTCCATTCCTCCCAGAGCATGAACATGTTTTTCAAGCTCAATTTCTCTGCGATTTTAAATACCGTGTGTAGTTGAACTTGGTGTTCGGAGCTCTTCGTAAAATAAATCAGTATACTGTACAGTGTATTGTTAGCTTGTTGCAAAGGTTTCCTTTTTAAATTCCAGCCTATTTCTGAAAATGAAACTCAAAATTGGATGGAACAGTTTGAGTGAGTGACTCATCGCCTGTCTGTCCGTTGGAGACACGGTTCTTGATGCTGATGTAAAATTGGCGTGCAGAGGCTCGATTACCTCATGATGAGTTCTGCTATTGTGTTATTTTTTGCCACATCTCCTTGTTCCGTGTACATTAAACTCTTGTTTTTTTTTGGTTGTGTGTGCGTGGACTCGGAAGTCTTTGGGGTTTAGATTAGGAATCCGGAAGCTTGTCTAGTGGCGGATAATAATTTCGCTGTGGCGCTTCTGCAGGTGGCATATTTGTGTGAGTGGTGTCAAGTGGAACTTCGTTTTTTTTTTGGGAGAGAGATTCACTGAATTTCTGCAGAGGTGAAAAGTTTGTGCGAAATTTCGTTTGACTGGAGGTGTTTGAGGCGATGGCGAACAAGGCGCCTGGGACTAACCCTGTGAAAAAGGTTCCGATTCATCTCAAGGTTTGTGTTTGCGAAAATTGACTCAAATTGATTATTCTTGTGACATGGAAATGAATCATTTGAAAATTGAAATTTTTGGTGAGCTGTATATATACATATATGTAGAATTTCAAAGTACAAATCTAACACCAATAATGAACAGATACAGTGTATGAATGCCCATGGCATTTATTTTGAATATTGGAATTTCTTCCTGAGGTTTCTCATACTGGCTTCTGCTGGATAATAATGCTGTACCCATTTGCAGCAGTTGCAACTGTGGAACAATAGAAAAATGGGTGGAAACACAGAAGGAATTGAATATTGGTACTCATTCTTGTAAAATGATGCAGGAGGAATGCTTGGATAATAGATGATGGGAAGAAGTTTGTTTCTCCAGGTGTTGATACATGGGTGTAACTGGTTTTTTTTTATTGAGATAATTCTTCTTTCTCCCATGCCTCCTTCTTTGACCCAGTTACTAGCAGATATCAGCTATTGTGTGCTTCAAGCCTTTCCAAGACCCCGCCTTTATTAGAAGCACACCTCTGTTGGAGACCAGGAATTTAATAGAGAAAATTCTGCACAATACAGCTGGTGCCCTGTAACTCTACCCTAATCTGTTTCTGGACATACTAGGGTCAAATTGTGAAACAGTGGAATTGCAAGACAATGTCAAATTTGATGTTTGCTACATGGTATTTAATGTTTTGCATCTCAGTGTGGGTTGAATTGCAGGGCAAAGGTTGAATTTCAAATCATTCTCTCAGTAAATTTGACCTTTGTGTATGCAGAAGCAATGGAAGGGTCCCTCTGCCATCAAGGGAGCCTCACCTCAACCTTGATTATTTATACTGTTGTGTATATTTACACTTCTTTATATTTAAGGTTTGGTATATCCTTTATAGTGGAAGTAGTAAAACACAGTATTCCAGCAGTTCTAGCATTTATTGCCTTTTGTCATTAAATCATACAAGACAAGACCTCAGAGGATTTCCTACTTGGGATATCTACTCACTGGTCAGCGCACTAATGCCTGATTTTGGGAAGATGCTACTGGAGTTTATATACTCCAGAAAATCAGGCACAAGGTCAAAGTACCAGGAAGTGTACTTCTTAATTGAGGGACAGATCCAGGAGGGGAGGACGGAATGCAAGGCTACGTCCTTCAAGGAAGGTCAATATATGATATAATATATTATTGAATATATTCTAGCCTCAAGAATTGCCCCGTCAGGAAGAGTAATTAATATCTTCCTTTTCTCTCATCTTCTTTGTTGCACCTGAGTCGTTTAATATTCTTTTATTCTTGACTCAGTTCAGAGTCATTATTATTTACGACTCTTGGCTCATGTGTATCATTGAGTATTTTCCCAATGATAACAATACAATCAGCCAATGATAACCACTTACCCAAAACCCTGAATGAAGCACATACTGAATTAGCAAACATCTTCAATTTGTGGGACAGACAAATTGTGGGGTTGTCAAATTTCAAGGTATCATCTGTATAGATTTACTCACTTTACAACAAAACTCAGGGGGCCAGCAAAATTATTTTAGAGATACCTTTGTTGTAGAGAACCCATATAACATGGAGAGAGCAAGCAATGGACCAAAAAAATCATTTCTAAAGAGAATTTGTTGTGGACAAGATTACTGTAGAGAGCCTGCCTGTACTTCGGTAATGTTGGGTAACTGTACAGCTGTACTTCGCCTATTGAGGCAAATTGAAATGAAATATTGTATATTCAAATTCGGAGAGACTTGAAGGGTTGATATTTAAACTGACCTAAAAAGTGAACTATCAGGAACTGCAACTTCTTTGACTTGGCATTATAAAGGCAAATCATATAGGCCTCAAAATATTGGACAATAATCATCCAGGATACTGGATTCCTGGCCAAAACACACAAATTATTGAAGATGCTTTTTCTGGCTGTATCAGTATCAGAATTATGTGGGTAATCAGTCAGATCGCAAATTTATCAAACCTCATTGTATTAAGAGTGTCTTCAGAGTCTACTGAGTTTTTACAATATGTTCTCATTTCCAAAAAATTCAAGCTGGGACAACAGAAATCCATCTTTAATCCAATTAGAAATCCTGAGGGGATTTCTGGCCCTGTTCAAAGCTGATCGCTGTCTTTCTGTTCTTTCCATTAGATTGACTGAAAAATAACATTTTTAAATTAACCTTATTAAGGAACTTTTCCATCCCCAACAGAAGATGTGTGGTGTCTTGAACATATTACATTTCAGTCTGCAAAAACTCAGAAGAAGAATCACTCACGTTGATCATGTATTCCAAGAAAAAAATAATGAATGATTTGTTATGAAATGGCTAAAACTTGAATCATTTCTCTTCCAGGTAACCAGAACACTTATTTGATGTCCATCCCTTTTTTGTCATTTCATTCTTTTTGCGAGTTGTCATTCTGTACAAATATTTTCCTTTTTTCAACCGTGGATCCGAATGTTCCTGAATATACTCGTATAAACCAGGGAATAGTACCGGTGACATTTGCACGCACAAAAGGTCAAACGTCATTGTCCTGAAACAGGCAGCAAAAAAACTGGATACGATTGTTCCACGAACTGATTGCATCTAACCGCTCTTTTCTCATCATCGAATACCCATTGATTTTCTTTTGTTTTCCCTCACCGCGGACGTGAAATCCAGGAATTGAAAAGTTTCCTCGTTCGTCTTGTTATTTGATACTCGATTTCAAAGTTAACTGATTCCCACGTTGAGAGGAAATATTGTTTTTTTCATGCTGGGATTATGAAAGTCGTATCGAGACTATGAATGCGGTGGAAATTTTCTTATCAGGATTTGACGAAGAACTAATATTCTCTACACAGTATTTGCTTCCCTTTTTCTTCCGGAAAAGTCCCTGTTTGAAATACAGGAACTGAATCCCGATACAGTGATTTTTCGCATGAAATTTACGTTGTCTTGAAATCGACTGATTATTTAATGATCTAAAAATTATTATTTTTCAAATACTGGGGCAGGTGGTAATCAATTGCAGTTTTTTGGCATTTCTAAAGATGTTCGTTTGTCATGATGTATATTTTTTTCTGCGATGCGGAACCCGAAAGTTGGGAAAGAGTTTTTTCTCACGCATTATTTATCGCGCCGACTTTTGCAGATGGGGTTTTCATTTCAAAAGGTTCGCAGTCGTTTAAAGTGGAAAAATCACCTCTTTAATACTGGTTCAGTTGCTCACTTTCACCCCAAAAGCTGGGTTTGGTTTCCCAAGCATGAATGATGATGTTAAATAAATCATCTTTTTCTTTTATTTTACATTTTAGTAACCTGATCTAGTGGCGTTGGAACCACAAGATTAGAACGTGTCCCAAAAAACGGTGCTAACCCTAGAATAATTCAAACCCAAAAAATAAGAGGACACTGATTTCTCGAAAGTTCGAGTAATCCAATCTCCAATCTGGAAAGTTCGTCGGAAATTGAATCTTCGTGAATAAAATGCACTAATTGAATATTGCGTAATTTGTCCTTGCTTCAAATAAATAAAAAACTGCATGATTTCTACTTCAAAGGCCATTAAAACTACTCAAACGTGGTGTTGGCCCAATATTTCCCGAAGAGTATCCATACGGAATTTTGAAATAAATAGATTCCTCGCGTAATTTTGTAAATTTGATGAAATATTTTATTGATTTTAGATAATATTGAACATGGGTTGATTTTTTAAAGCATGAAACTTTGCTGTAATAAGCTCAGGGAATTTTCGCTTTTTGAAGACTTGCACAGGGGATCCAAGAAATATTTCGTGACAGAGAGAATATTTATGCAGAACACAATTTTATACTGGTACTCCATTCGAAAATTTGATTTCTTTGAGATCACGGTATTGCAGAATTTTATTGAAATCATTATGAAGGGACTCCAGCTATTATATCTGAAAGTATTTCGGAATAAACCTGATTTTTTCGAATATTCAGAATGAAATTTACCGTTTTCAGCCGACTTTTCGACAGCTTGAATTCGCAATTCTCTGGAGGTTTTTTTTTTTTCAAAATTGGCTTTCAACTGATGATTTAGATTTAATTTTTTGAGTATAGGTGAAATGCGCTGCTTTTTTGGACGCGCTTTTGCATAAAATATATTTTCTGCCCTCAGAAATGTTGTGCGTTGTATTAATTTTATATTTTTGAGCATCTGGTTTTGTGATAATTGATGCATTGTCGCTGCGAAATGGGTCGGGTCTCGGCTGTCGACACTTTCGACGCGTCGACTGGGAATCTTTGGCACGGGGCTGACGAGTTTCACGTGATAATCGGTCCGTCTTTTCATTTTTTTTCTGCACTTGCCTCTTGTCTACGTTGGAAGGATGAAAATATATAAAGAAAAGAACAAATATCGAGGGAATGTGCTGATGTTCTCTATTTCGTAAGGCGACCGCGAAATCTTGGGATTCTTTGAATGTTCGCTTTCGTTTCTGTCTTCATTCCGTTTTTGCTTCTGCAAAAAAAAAAAAGGTGCTGGAATTCCTTTTGTCTTTGGCAAAATAATCTTGCTACTTCGTTCTGGTTGAATTTTGCAGATTGCGTCTTATTGGGTTCTGGTTCTTTTTTTTTTTTTTTTACGCGGGAAGAGCTGCTTTTTTGATGGGAATTTCAGGACAGCTTTGACGGGAAATTCTTTCTGAGGAACATTAAGAAGATTCACAAATTTGGTGAATCTTCGAAATGATGTAATCGTAATTTTCTGAATTTTGATTGAGCTGCGGAATTTTGGCATGATTCTATCAGCAATTGCAAAATATTTCCCGGTTGCTTTACTTCTGTTGATACTTGAATGCGTTTTATTAAAATTCCTATGGATTTACCGAGATTTTTTTCCTCGTCTTACAGTAAAGATATTCAACAGAGCAAATAATACAAGACGTCTTGATTGAACTGTTTAAATTTGTGCAGAGTTCATTCTTTTTTAAATTGAATCGCAAGAGAAGTCACGACCTTTTGCTTTTCATTTTTAGGGCTTATTTTTGGGTG